AATACTTTAGTTGAAAATTCCTTGTAAGACCAAGAAATTGTTAGCATCAAAGTCATCTTTTTGGTACAATGAAATACAGTTACACAAGTAAGGTAAATAATGTGTTTTTTTAAAGTAATATTAGTGCTGTAGACAAATTAGACTCATTTTCTTTTTCATTTCTCATGGAGAAGAATATTTCAGTTTGCTTTTAAAGTTCCTTAAAATTTACAAACATGTTCACAAGCATTATTTAATTTCAACATCATAACATTTATGTAAGGAAGGGAAGAGTTAGTGTGTCACCCCTTTGAACAGTAATAAACCAAGTCTTGTATGTTAAATGCTTTGGTGGTTATATTGTTGGTAAGAGTTGAAGCCAGAAACCCTAACTTCTATTTTACGGACATGCTTCAGTGTAAAGACAGAGAAGTCATGTGTTAGTTATTGGCTTTGAAGCCCGGAGTTCTGGAATAATTTGTAATGAAGACATGGTGAATTCACAGAGTGTTATCTTTTTACCTGTGGCTTCCACACCTTGCACCAGTCAGGAATGGCCAGGTTAGCAATGTGAAGTGATGTGTGCCAGCCTGTGTAACTCCAGGTTTTCACCAGGACAGTGACCTGCTGGACCGACGGAAACACTGCTTCACCGTGCAGTCTGAGTCTGGGGAGGACCTGTACTTCTCAGTAGAGCTGGAAAGTGACCTCGCCCAGTGGGAAAGAGCGTTCCAGACAGCAACCTTTCTAGAAGTAGAGCGGATACAGGTGAGAGTCTGTGAGACCGCAGGATGTGTGGCTCGCTCAGATGCATGTCCACTTCCCTAGAATTCTAATATCATTCCAAAGTAGTGTAAAAATCCAGTTCCAGGAGTCTTGACCTCAAATGCATTCCATAATTAGTCATTTTTATTTAGTGACGAATAATACGGCTCTGAATAAAATTTTAATCTTTCCACAATTTGATCTTTCCAGGCTATTTCCTACTACTAATCAAAAATATATTTCTAATTTTAATTAGACATTACTCTGACTTAAATCTAATATAGAAAATACTCTAATTTAATTAATTGTTGACAAGGTCACTTCCTGTTCTCCAAATATGACCTCCTAATTTCCAATCTGTTGGCATCATTTACTCACAATGCTCTTTCTTCTAGAAAACCTTCCCTTTGCCTCCGTCCTTCAAAGCCTTATAGAGGTTTTGAAACTTTTTATCAGAGGTCATATCATCCAGGAACATGTTCCTGATTTCCAGCCCACCATGCCTAATGCTTGCCAGTACTCCTCCTACAATTATCCTGTTCAAACAACTCTTCTTCTCACTTTTGAACACGATATAACATACTTGTCTGTTTTGTTTTTTTTTTTTACAGAAAAGAAAATGCAAACTAATCAATTTCATTCATACTATTCGTGAAAAGCAATTACATTTTTACTTAAAATCATTAACACATATAAGAACAAAAATCATAAAACTGATACATCTGATTGGAAATACAATTATAGGAAATAGATTTTAAAATAGCATAGTTTAGTGATAAAATTTATACCATATTTTTTACTTATTTATAGCAGCATCTATAAGATTCTTCCATTTATTTGTCTTTTCTTTAAGGGTTGCTCACACTCAGTCTGTTTTGTATTGCAGTGACATGTGCTTGTTATTCCCTGCACTAAATTATAGATTGTTTGGAATTATCTTATTCATGTGCCAACCATGGTCCAGTGCATTTTGCACATCATGAGTAGTCAACAGATATTTATTGAACTTTGTTTCTTAACTGTGAAGTTATACACTAGATCAAACTTTATAGAGCCCTCAGCCTCTGTCTTCACAAGAACATTGAATGAAACAGCCTCCCAAAGTTGGTTCTGTGGCTGACCTCAAACAGACCTGTGGACAAACTGAAAGGTTATCATGCGCTTGCCACATGCAAATGGATCCATAGAGCAAGAACCTAAATACACACATGGACACTTAATTATGAAAACAAATATGGTGAATAATCTAGCATTGACTATTCTGGAAAGTTTGCTTAAAATAGGATTGTTGGATACATATATTTTGAACATGTTGAACTGATTTCTATTTTCTGACCACAAACCTCTGTAGTCAACACATCAAGTTGTACCAGTATGTCATTACAATCAGAGGAAAAGGACAGAAAGAAAACTCCAATTATAGTTTTTTTAATTGTTCAGCTGACTCTTTTCAATAACTCTGCTTTTATCTTCATGCATCTAAAAAGTCTTAAATAGCTAAAAAAATAGTTTCCACAATTAGCTCATAGAACCTCAATTCAAAAAAATATATATTATATCAAAAATGGAAACAAAAATATATTAAATATGATTTTTATTCCAAGTCAAGGTCCAAGACCATTTAAAGCATTAAAATATAATTTAATGGAATGCAAGTTGACAGTTTTGTTATTCAAATTTATACTTTCAGGTTTTCAAAATTATTATTTCTCTACAACAGTCCACTTTGCTTGGAAACAACTACATGGTAATTTTAACATTTTGGTTCCAATTTAGTATTTTATTTTAAGTCTCCTGATATTTATAAATTAGATAGAGATAAAATCTTTGAATCTGGGTGTTGTGTTCTGTAAACTGATATTCAATGAAATACATTGGACTATCTCCTTGCCCATTCACAATGCCAGTGTAAGATACATGTCAGAAGTGAAAGGTAAAATATTTAATGTCTTCTTAGCTTTTAGTTGTTCTACAGATTTTATAACTTTTTTTGTTTACTATATGAGAAATCAATGGCTGAACACCTTTGTAGTGTTACTTTCAAAATTCAAGATGTGAATATATTTACGTGAAGAACCTTACATGTTTTTCTTCTATATTCTTAATTTATCACTTCCATTAAAGTTGGTAAGGAATTAAATAAAGAAGGAACATAAGTTCTGTTGTAAAACAAGCAGAAAAAAAAGTAATGAATTGACTTTCGAAGTGTTTCTCATTTAAACTTCCTTAAAAAGGATAATTTATTTATTGATTTTTCTCTGTATAATTTGTTTTTAAGGAAACAAATTAAACAACAAATTAAATATTTCAATATTAAACATATGTTAACTATACTCATGATATGCTATTAATATTATAAATGATAGAACTTGAGGCTATGTATAAATTGAGACTTCAATGAGTCTCAATTTATAGCACATCTATTTGTTTCAATTTAATGATTATTGAGAAAAATCTAATTTAATTTGTAATGCTGAACTTAATAGAAAAATTTTAATATGCTGCACCGAATTTATTTTCACCTGACATTTTCTTGTTTAAATGACAGTCCTTGAAATTAGCAAACCATTATGTCTAAATTAGGAGAAAATTTTATAGCCTTAAACATTCCTTAATGTTGATAATAGTTTTAATAAAGTGCTAATGGGTGGATGTAAGCATGCACAATGCTCATGTATTAAACAAATATAATTACTCCCCAAAATGGGCTTTTGAGGCCCATTAAGTATGTTCTTTAGTCTGCTTTTTTTAAAAAAAAGTAACTCCAATAATAATTTTGCATCATTATAATTTTTCTATGCTAATAAGGCTTAAACACAAGAATGTAATTTTTGGTGAAGGCAACTTGATGTATTTAGTTATGATTACATTCAGAATGGGATTCAATTAGTGCAGTTTTACATACGGTATTGTAAAAAAAATACAATGTAAGGATAGGTATTAAAAATTTACTTCAGATAAACTTCTCTTCCTTTTTTTCTTCTCTCTCTTTGTCTCTGTCTCTACTTCTCTCTCGTCTTGTACATGAATCACAGATATTTTTCATGATTGGAATATCCCACCATGATTTAAAATTAAATGCAAATAAAACTGGCTTATAGATGTAACAATACATCGTGGCATATATAAACCTCAAGTTTTTATTTCATATTTGATTTATATCCTGTTTTCTTTATATTTCGGTATCCATATTTAATATGAAAAATTAGGCTGGGCACAGGGGCTCACGCCTGTAATCCCAGCACTTTGGGAGGCTGAGGTGGGTGGATCATGAGGTCAGGTGTTTGAGACCAGCCTGGCCAAGATGGTGAAACTCCATCTCTACTAAAAATACAAAAATTTGCCAGGCACAGTGGCAGATTACTCTAGTCCCAGCTACTTGGAAGCTGAAGCAAGAGAATTGCTTGAACCCAAGAGGCAGAGATTACAGTGAGCTGACATTGTACCACTATACTCTAGCCTGGGTGACAGAGCAAGACTCTATTTCAAAAAAAAAAAAAAAAAGAAAAATTATAATATTATCTGACCTCACTGTGAAAATAATTACTTGTTGATTTTTAAAAATTGTCTGTAGTTCTAAATAAATAAATTGGAAAGTGGTACATATCTGTAGGAATATCTTGTGCAACATTGAAGAACAGAGAAAGACTCTTAAGATCAAGATCTACTCTTTTGGCTTGGTTACTAAATTTGTATTTGTGTGCATGAGAATGTGGTTTAATAATATCCATAAAATTGATATCCTGAGAATTCAAGACAGTGCTATTTAACAATAGTTATCTTTCTGTTTAAGGAAAATGGTTGGCTACAGTAAATAACGACTTAACATAAACTTGTCTACACCTAAAACTTTTTATATACAACCTTTATTGTCAATACAGCAAAAACCAACAGTGTAGCACAATGTAAAGACAAAACTAGAGGGAGCAGGATTGGAAACTTGGCCAGGCATACACCTTGGCAAGTTAAAAATAAAACCCAACACTCTCAGCTTCTGTTTCATTTACATTAAAATGTTGATAATCCTCCCTTCTTTATCCAATTATTGTTAATATTAAATTAGATATTGTATGAAGTACTTACTGCAGAAGCTGTCACATAGTTCTTAATATTAATATTGCATCAATGACATGAAAAGTAACAATACTTTCTGTTCTACCTAGTGCAAGACCTATGCATGTGTTCTAGAAAGTCATCTAATGGGACTCACAATTGACTTCAGCACAGGATTTATCTGCTTTGATGCTGCAACAAAGGTAATGTGTTAAGGTCAACTCTGAGAAATATGCTGCAAACATTCTAATTCAAGGATGATTTAAATGCCTCATAACTCCTTTCAGCATTTTAATTGTAATCATATGTCAGATTTAAGATCCTCGTTTTTGTTAATGGAAGATAAATTATGCTTCAATCTGAAAAAAAGTTTGAATTTTTAATAAAACAAACGTAGTACCACAAAACTGTAACTATGTGAAAGTAAATATTTCTTTATAAGTCTATTTATGTATATGTCTATCTATCAATCATTTTCCTGTTTTTTAAAGATATGACTTTATAATTGAAGGGACATTTTCTTCCCCAAAAAGCAATTTAAAAAAAAAAACAAAAAAAAAAAACATGTTTCTTTATACTTTACCTGCATCAACTTCTGCAAGACAAAAAGAAGGAAAACATGTTGTTTTTTTAAAAAATATATATATATAGCTGACATGTTAAAATTATTAAATGGTGAAAATTTAAAGTTTAGAGTCTAGCCAGGGAGTAGAACTTTTATAAACACTTGACTTAATAAGGATTATGTACTATGAGGTGCTCTTTTCCCAAAGTATATATCTCTAGGAGTGATGCACATTGAATGAGAGAGGGTGCCTACTCAACCAGTCATACCTAAAAAAAAATCCAATTTTGATTATGATGGAATGACAAATGACAAAGCCAAAGCATTGCACATTATTATCATTATTTTTAATTGGAAGTGATCTTAAAGGTCAACTGACCCCCATTCAACTGGTAATCTCCTTCTAGGCACTACTACAGTTTGTGACTTGGGACCGTTGTCCCCATGGAAGACTTTCTCTTCCCTCTCACTGAGGATCTCAGTTCCTTAGATCCATTCCACTTCCTCCTTCACCAAAGTATGGCTTGGGTATAAATTGATTTGTTCCTTCTCACTAATTTTAAGAATTCATGAATAATTCTTTACCAGAACATACATATTTTATCTAGAAATTAAGTCTTATGTGGGATTTTCTAAAGCAAATGCCAACAAAATAAAACAGTGGTACAAACGTGTAGGAAAGATGGACTGTAGGAGGCACTGGGGGTGCTTGATTCGGGAAAGATGAACGTCTAATGGTGGGATCCAGGTAGGATTCAGCCTTGTGGTCATTCACCTTGTGAATCTTCATGACCCAGCAGTTGGCATTCTCCTGCAAAATCTCACATTACTTAAAGATGGTTAATAGTTATTTTTATTTTAATATGGTAAAATTAAACAGCACACATTTGCTGGTCAGATTTGGCCATCTAATGTATTGCCTTTGCATCATGACAAAAGAATACTTTGTGAATAAGGAATTATAAATGCCAATGACTCTTGAAAACTCTCAAATGAGACTGCCATAAACTATTCCTATTACTAATTTTTTTATTAAAATGCTCATCAAATCAAGATAGGCTCCTGAGTATTAAATTAATTTGATAAATTAATTTAATTAAATAATCAGTTAAATGAGTAATAAGTTAATTTTATAAATAAATTTAGAAGCAAATTACACTAACTAGAAAAGTCAAAGTCTGATTTTAAAAAGAAAATGTTATTGCCAGAATTGTCACCAAACTCTGTTACATGAATCTGCAAGAATCTTACATTAGCGAATGAGAAAAATAAAATTCACATGAATATATTTCTAAGTATGTGAATCTATTCTGAGTTTATTTTAAGGCTAGCATAATACTAACCTATGTCAGTGTCCTGTTGACTCTGTATAATAAAGGAGAAAATCATGACACCAATGTCCTATCTGACATTACTGTCTACTTCTGCTGGGTGTTCTGGGAATGAGTGAGTAGTCAGGAGAGTCTAAGTGAATGATTATGACGCCATCCAGGGAAAACAGTTTAATAGGAAATGAGAATTTAATCAGTCCAAGCTTGATACTCAGGAAAACACCAGAGGCCTTCAGGAATAGTAGTCACTGTTCTATTTTCTGATTCTATCATTGGAAGCATTTAACTTCAAGGCAATCTGAGAATTGGGAAAGGCTAAAAGGAATCTACACATTAATCAAGGAGATTGTAGTATCCATCACAGATTATGGTACTTGGAGAATGAAAGTAGGAACTATTAATAGTTATGTCAGACATAAAGAGGAGGACAAGCAAAAATGGAGATTCCTGGACAAACCACTGAACTGGGCTTACTGCAAGAAACTTGCACCCCTTCATCAAATGAGCCTGGAAGTTATTTTTAAATATGACAAAAAAAAGATAATTGTTACATACAAATCAAAACATGCTTTGTCCAATGTTTTATTAAAATAAATAATATCTAGTTATTTTCTGTCTATTTTTGCTAAGTAATATGAATGTGAAAAATATCTCTAAGACTATATGTTCAACAGTTTTTAAATGTTTGGATTCAGGAGAGTTTACCCTTTAGCTGAATATGCTTTGTCCTTCTGCACTTCTTCTTGTAACTTCCAACCTTGAAGTTACTACAGAAGCAAACCAAAGGTCTTGTAATAAAGAAGAGATTCCAGGGAAGGGGTGGACTCTATTCTGGGTCATTAAGTGAGCTCCATACAAAGCAGATAGTGTATTGTTAATATATCAATGAAGGAAAGAATTGCTGCATCTCTTATTTCAGGGAATGAGAGTCTGCGTGATTTTATATTACACTGGTATGCTAAATATGTGGATGTAGAGGGATGTCTGAAAATGTCAAGCTAATTCTCATTACTTACCACCTGTGCTTGGAAGTTCCCAGAGTAAAAGATTACCCTTGACTTGCCAGAGCACAAGACATATTAAATAGCATTCTGCTCCCTATGCTTACATTTACATTAGCAGGGTATAAGGAGGTGATACATTCTTCAGTTCCCTTACTGTTGCTGAGTGATTTCCTCCCAAATTCATTACTATACAGCTCAGCTTGTTCTTTGTCATTCTCATCCTTATTAAAATGTAGCCTTTTCACTGTTAGAGAAGGGTATTATTATTATTATGTCAAAGAATAATGTTAACCGTACTTAATTTACATAGCTAAAAGCATAGCCTTGTTGCCATTATATTCTTTTAAATATGTATATGTGCATTAATTAATTATATCTGGTGATAGAGTTCCTAGTTAAATAGAAATCTCAGCAGTGACATCTACAAAACACTCATTTAATTTATGAATAAATCTTCATCGAATGCCTGCTGTCTCTTGTGAGACATGGGAGAGCATACACATCAGTCTTCAAAGATGTTTCCTTAAAGTTGAGACAAGCAGGATGAAACTGCCCAGACAGATATCTGTAAGTGAGGAAGGACATGGAATTTGAGGGAAGAGGGGGATGAGAGATCATGTTTATGGGTATCTAAGAGCCAGATTTTAAAAAAAGATCCAATTAAGAAATTGGAAGTAATTCTAAGAACAGGGGAATACATTTAGGGTTTGAGACAAAGGAAAGAAATGATCACATGTGTGTTTGAGAATAGAAAACTACTGAAATAATGTTTGACTGAAATTAAGACCATCTGGGCAAAATCCAGATTCCAAATGTGTTTTTCGGTTCTTTTTTTATTTTTAATTTTTTAAATTATGCACTACGTTCTGGGATACATGTGCAAGACATGCATGTTTGTTACATAGGTATACTTGTGCCATGGTGGTTTGCTGTACCCATCAACCTGTCATCTAGGTTTTAACCCCTGCCTGCATTAGATATTTGACCTAATGTTATCCCTCGCCATGCCCCTACCCCCAAACAGGCCCCAGTGTGTGATGTTCCCCTCCCTGTGTCTATGTGTTCTCATTGTTCAACTCCCGCTTATAAGCAAGAACATGTGGTGTTTGGTTTTCTGTTCCTGTGTTAGTTTGCTGAGAATGATGGTTACCAGCTTCATCCATGTCCCTGCAAAGGGAGTGAACTCATCCCTTTTTTATGGCTGCATAGTACTCCATGGTGCATATATGCCACATTTTCTTTATCCAGTCTATAATTGATGGGCATTTGGGTTGGTTCCAAGTCTTTGCTATTATAAATAGTGCCTCAATAAACATGCGTGTGCACGTGTCTTCATAGGAGAATTTATAATCCTTTGGGTATGTACTCAATTTATAATCCTTTGGGTATACACTCAGTAATGGGATTGCTGGGTCAAATCGTATTTCTGGTTCTATATCCTTGAGGAATCACCACACTGTCTTGCACAATGGTTGAACTAATTTACACTCCCCACCAACAGTGTAAAAGTGTTCCTATTTTTCCACATCCTCACTGGTATCTGTTGTTTCCTGACGTTTTAATGATTGCCACTCTAACTGGTGTGAGATAGTATCGCATTGTGGTTTTGATTTGTGTTTCTCTGATGACCAGTGATGATGAGCTTTTTTTCATATATTTGTTGGCTACATAAATTTCTTCTTTTGAGAAGTGTCTGTTCATATCCTTCATCCACTTTTTGATGGGGTTGTTTTTTTCTTGTGAGTTTATTTAAGTTCCTTGTAGATTCTGGATATTAGATCTTTGTCAGATGGATATGTTACAAAATTTTCTCCCATTCTGTAGGTTGCCTGTTCACTCTGATGATAGTTTCTTTTGCTGTGCAGAAGCTTTTTAGTTTAATGAGATCCCATTTGTCAATCTTGGCTTTTGTTGTAATGGCTTTTGCTGTTTTAGTCATGAAGTCTTTGCCCATGCCTATGACCTGAATGGAATTGCTTAGGTTTTCTTCTATGTTTTTTATGGTTTTAAGTCATGCATTTAAGTCTTTAATCCATCTTCGGTTAATTTTTGTATGAGGTATAATGAAGGGGTCCAGCTTCAGTTTCATGCATATGGCTAGCCAGTTTTCCCAAAACCATTTATTAAATAGGGAATCCTAGCTGGGTGCGGTGGCTAACACCTGTAATTCCGGCACTTTGGGAGGCCAAGGTGGGCAGATCATGAGGTCACGGGTTTAAGACCAGCCTGGCCAACATAATGAAACCTTGTCTCTACTAAAAATACAAAAAATTTTCTGGACGTGGTGGCAGGCACCTGTAATT